TTTTTTCCTTTCCCCCCCCCCCCCCCTGGATCTGCCGAAAAGATTGATTTTGAAAAGACTACGGCGCCTACGTGAGACGACCAGGCCAACATCGATGTCTACGTTGAAGGTGATTTCCCGGGGAGTAACAAGAGTTATAGTATAGATTTATATTTAACGTTATGATACTATTTGTTAGATAGGTCAAATACAGTGATTAGCTAGCTATAATATATGTGGTAATGGAAGACAGACGATAATAAAGAAATTGATGATTGTGCCTTAAAGTTTTACTGTTATGTCATATACGTTTGAGCTTGCAGCTTGCTTATATCATGATTGATCTCTGTGCAAGCTCTCGCGCATCCGCACAAGCAACGAGTCTAAAATACTTTAAGATCATGTTCCAGTTAATGAAATAAAAATCGATTGCAATATTCATGACAAATGTACTCTGCCGTATCTGTTACATCCAATAAATCTATTCCATTTCTATTGTACATCTGCTTATGTCGATCTACCCTGCTCTGCTCAGCTGCGCCTGAGCCTGACCCTGTTTGAATTTACTGCTCATTCGTTTGGGAGGCTGACTATCTATACCTACTGATCATCCTTCTCTCTTTCTCCCTTTCACCGTTTGCCATCCTCCAGCTCTCTTCCACGAGGCCTTGGGAATTCCTCTAGCTGAAGGTACAGTATCGATCTGCTGACCAATAAACGGCCCAGGAGTAAAAGAGGTCACGGTTGCGAGTTCCGACGGGGTTGGCTCTGGTGGTTAAGGGGTGGTAGTCAGCAAATCTACAGACGTAGCCCAGTAGTATAGCCTCGATAGTGGTAGTACTCCAGGAGGTGGTAGTCCGAGGCGCTTGCGCAACCCAAACCGAGTAGCGTACGACTGGCTGACGCTCGTAGCTCTTGTCGCCTTCAATAACGACTTTACGTCGTCGTCTAGAAAGAGAGGGAAGTCGAGTATACCTACTTGCGTGAGGAAGGAAAGGAAGGAACGCAGTTCGATGTGGCGTATCGCGAAAGCGCTACAGTGATAAGAGATTCCGGTACGCCGCGACGTCCAGTGCCGCTCGTTCTGCAGGACGTTGGCCGATGCCGCTACGAGGAAGACGATACCTGGAAATATCGCGTCTGCTGAATTGTTCGTGTAAGTACCTTTTATTTTACTTGTCTTTTCTACGTTTTTGAGATTGTCTTCGTATGCTTCGGTTCCTGTCCTATACGGAGCCCGGGGATCGATCGATTACTGACACTACCCCAGTACCTTCCTTACGTTTTACTATAAGAATCGTAGAGGTTAAAGATATAAGTTAAATTAACTTGTTAGCTGATAGGTTAAAAAATGTTACCATATACACAAAATGTTATCACACAATGAGTAAGTGTGAAATGTTCTTACATTTTTCGAACTGACAGTTTACAATGGCGGATAGGTACAGTTTGACATTGACAGTGATAAGAGTCGATAGGTCAAATATTGATTAATGGGTAATTGAGAAAGGTTAGAAATTGTACGTACATCAAGATTGTTAGATAATTTTATTACAGGAATGTGTACGACTGTCACGAATATTTTCTTGATGAATAATAAGCCTTATGGCTGACTGGTTCGTAAATTCACTTTGAGGCTGAAGGGTGTCGCTCGATATATCGATCCCATTGCACTGTACGCTGTACGCGGCGGCCTTCGACACAATTTTGCTGGGACGAGGCTATAATTGGGTTGCGGGAATACGATCTGGTTTTGCGATCTTTACAGATACGAGGCTCCCCTAGGATGATGAGGACGTAACGATGTCTCAGCCTATTGGACTAACGTGCTGTAAGGCACACCATGAAGATCCCAGGGTGTCTCATGGAGGACGGCCACAACGGTGACGACGTTCCCTCCTCGTGAAACTCCAGCATGGATATTCAAAAGAAACATCTGTGCCCCCGCCTGGTCGATTATCTCGCCATCGTGGGGGCCAGACCACCTTCAGCCTCTCGTCAACCTGTCCAGGTAAAGAAAATAAATGGTGATTGTTCAAATGTTACTTTTGTTATTTTTTTTTCTTTTCATTTAGTCGCCATCTTTGTTTTCTTTGACTTCATTAGCTTGCTACACCACGTTCGTTTTGACGTATTTGCAGCTGCTTGATCAGATTACAGATACATTTTTTATCTTCAGGTCCCGGAACTGCTGCGCAGATATCCTCTAGAGGATCACAAGGATTTCCCTCTACCTCTTGATATGGTTTACTTTTGTCAACCAGAAGGATGCAGCAGCGTCGGCCCAAAGCGAACAGCTTTGCGAGAGGCCACTTCCTTTACCTTCACCCTCACTGATAAGGATTCAGGTTTGTATACTGAGAGCCATAAAATTGCGTCATCAGATTTACATTCGGTATACGTACACTTTATTGTGCAAGATCAGATGCGTTGTCATTGATCAAACCCATACCTTCCACCTTCATCAAGTACTCCTATGTCCTTTTTTTATCATACCTCAATATGCCATTATAATTGTTTTGTGATCCAAAGTATTTTGCATGCATGATGTAAGTCTTTGTATGATAAAGTAATAAAAAAATTTATAAATAATACCAATGGTTTTCCAAAGCAAAGGATTAGATGTCCTATGAACATTTTTGTTATGGTGTTTTATAGGAAAAACACGTTATGGGATATGCGTGAATTTCTATCGACCAATCGAGAAACCAGGAAGTTTTGTTGGCGGCGGAAACGGAAGTGGTGGTGGAAGTGGCCTGGGTGGTAGACGCGAAAGGCACAGTACGACCTTTCGTCGGGAGAGCTGGCGCAAGAGTATGGAAAAGAGTTCCGATTCGGCGTTCTCCAGGTGACGAGCGATTGAACAATGACAAAGATATAAAATTGCAAAGAAAAGAAATCATAGATACAATAACAGTAGAATAATCGTTGCCAAAAGTATCTCGAGCTCTTCTCTCTTGTAGCGACTATAGGAGCAGTGCGGTAGGTCCCAGTGACTCTGAAAGAGATTGCCCAAGTAGAAGAGACTCAGATACGCCACATTCGATGTCTCATGCTCCACGCCTTGGTATCACAGCACCTAGTGGAGACAGCGAGAGTGGCGGAAGTCATTCTCCATCGCCACGAGCTTCTCGAAGACGTCAGGTGTGTGTATTCCCGTAAAAAATAATTCAGAAGGCTAAGATACATAATTTCACTAATACCCCAAGACAATCTCAATAAGTTATAGTTAATTTTGTACTTTTTCTTTTATTACAGAGAGTTCGCAATCATTCCTTAACATCCTTATGCATAATATCCCATCATCCATTCTTCTCAACTTTTCGTGAGTGCCTCTTCGTTTTGAAGAGAATCGTCGATGCCTGCAATGAGAGTTCCTCGCCCAGGCGCGTGGGCGCGTCCAGGCAAACAACAAGGTGACAATCAGTTGGAAAGTGTGATGTTGCTTGATATCTGTATCTATATAATTACATGATATTTCTACATTGTAGAGACACCGTTTGGAGCGTTCTGACCGGTCAGGCATTCGAAGGAACACCGTCGATAGTTCTTCATGACGTCCGCGAAATTGAAACTTGGATACTAAGGTTGCTGAGTGCTCCGGTACCCGTACCTGCCAAGACCAGGGTAGAGATAGAAATACTCTCGCCTACTATTCAGCCGCCACTCTGTTTTGCTCTTCCGGATCACACGCGATTTTCATTAGTGGACTTTCCACTTCATCTACCTCTTGAATTGTTGGGTGTCGATATCTGTCTGAAGGTCCTGACTCTCATATTGCTTGAACATAAGGTAACGCGCAGTTTTGATCCTAGTAAATAGTAATCCTTGAAGATGATATTTAATCGAAGTTCATTTTAATTGGCTTGCAGATTGTGATGCAGTCTAGGGATTACAATGCCCTATCTATGTCGGTCATGGCCTTCGTCACTATGATCTACCCTTTGGAGTATATGTTTCCAGCCATTCCACTGCTTCCTACCTGCATGAGCTGTGCGGAACAGTTACTTCTTGCACCAACACCCTTTGTCATTGGAATTCCAGCGTCGTTCTTAATGTACAAAAAGAACTTCAAGATGCCAGATGACATCTGGCTGGTAGATCTGGACAGTAACAAGATCACTCCGCCTACAGGATTGACTGATCATTTACCACCGTTACCTGAGCCAGAGGGAACTATACTGAAGAATCACCTGAAGCAGGCGAGTATTTTTGACGTGTCCTTTCAAAGGAAGAAAATCATTAATCTGTACTGACATATCCTTCTCATAATCATTCTGTCTAACTCTGTGTCTTTCAATTTTCTCGCTGCTCACTTCGCTCGCTTCCACAGGCTATGCAACTGATGGATCAAGTTGGAGCTGGTGTAAATATCTTACTATCACTTTCCGCATGTGCATTTTGTAGTCTTTCCGTATCCAATGCTATTGTTTAGGTTCTGATCTAGCCGATGATGCTGTTAGCGGTAGTCACACGAGCGTACAGTATCAGTAACAATATTTGAAGCTGTAGTTGTAGGATGAATTCGCACCTAAATACCATTCTTTTCGAAATATATTTATCGCACCTGTTTGTAATTTCAGGCAATGGCCAGTATGTCAACAGCACAGTCGCTTCAGCCCTCACCGCAATACACGTCGCCCCAAACATCTCTGCATTCTCCCAGCAGAAGAGAAAGTTCAGCATCCCATCACTCAACCTTAAGGTAGATACAAGATAAATGAAAGTAGAGGTAAAACGGATTGCTATAGATTTCTAACGTTTTTTCTTTTATTTTCCGCAGTGCTTCCTCCGGCGGTAGGCAAAGACCGAGCGTGGACTACGGTCAACAAAGCCCTGCAAACTCATCTGGAACCTCGAGTCCACATAGACCATCCTTAGTCTCCTCCGTAGGTTCAACTTCTTCACCTCAACGAGGAACAGCACCGTCGTATCAACAGTCTTTGCATCAATTACCACAATCTCAACAACATCATCATCAGCAGAACCAACAACAGCAGCAATCGGGTGCTTCTTTCAATCCGTTTATTTATGGAAATGACGTAGACTCCGTCGACGTCGCCACCAGGGTAGCCATGGTCCGCTTCTTCAACTCTCAGAATCTCTTGGCAAACTTCACTGAGCACACCAGGACCCTGAGGCTTTATCCAAGACCCGTAGTGGCATTCCAAATAAATTCGTTCTTGCGTTCACGACCACGTACCAGCCACTTCCTCAACAAATTTGCAAGAACCCAAGCAGTCGAGTTCCTGGCCGAATGGTCGCTTACGCCAAACAATGTGGCTTTCCTAAGGGTACAGACTGGTGTTTTTGATCCAGCCCAGATCGGAGACAAAGGGAAATGGTTTGCTACCACCCTGGAGCCAATCTACTTTCCTGTATGGGACTCCGGGAGTTCATTAGCTGGCGCACTTAAAGCTATGAAACAGCTGGAAAATCAACCAACGGATGAAAGTGGCTCAGATTCCGAAGGTGCGGAGAGCACCAGCTCCTCCTATTCATCTCTTAGTGACTTTGTCTCAGAAATGGTCTCATCCGACCTGTCACCCAGTAAGTACAATGAATGCAAAACTTTTCAATCTCCTACAGCATAAAGTTCTAGATCATTATATTATTTTCTAATGTCTTCTAGGCTACAACTGTCCTCAAGCTACACAGCAACCTCAAGCTCTGGCGCTCTCAGTAGATCCACGTAGTGTCTACAATCCACCAAGTGCTCTGCAATATCCTGGCATCGAGGAGGATCCTCCAAGTCGTCCAGGTAGTCCTCCCAGCACTTCTTCTAGTCACAGCGACCTCAGCAGCCCCAGCTTTAACCGAGATTCCGAGTTAGAGTTGAATCCGAAAGCTCGTGAAGCTTTCCAAACAACCAAGAGCGACAACGTGAGTTGTTTCTTTTCTGCTTATAATTTCCACTTCCTACCTTTATTCACTTTCTCTCTCTTTCTAATCCTGTCCTCTCATGTTTACCTCGGTATCAGAGAGTCTCTCGAGCTCAAAATTACCCTTGGATCCGGATGACAGTGCATTGATAACCTAGATAGTAGACTAGAGCTTTGCTAGAGCGCGCAACGGCGACTGTGCAGTTGGCCAGAGATTTTTAGTGGGCCAGAACTGTGACGTAACCTGGGCACGCTCATATGCATTATATGTATGTACATATGTAACTTCATGCTGACTTCCTCACAATCCTCCTTTTCATTATCCTGCCGTATGGACCAGACACTTAGCAATCTTGAACGCGATACACCAGCAGCTATCAATCACTGCGTGTTGCACATGAAACTAGGAATTCGATCATTGCTAACAGTATTATTACGCTTGATCATGACATCATAGGATAAGGAAGAAGGAGGTAGCTTTGAATCAGACTCAGCATCCACAACGGCGACACCACGCACGATCCTCAGCGCACAAAGTATTGTAGGCCAATTTGGAAGTGGTGCAGGGTCTTTAGAGACTCCTTCAGCCAGCGATACGGAACGCCCTACCACTCCACATAGGACTTCGCGGCTCGCTAGATCTGTCACTCCAGTGAGTTAGTTCACCTGCTTACTCATTGGCTCCTCAATCACTTCTTTTTTTTAATTCTAAAAAGTTTGCAGTAACATCAACATATATGCTGCATGGTACTCTGTTCCAAGCTTTTGCATTCTATTATTAAATTGTAAAAAGTAAATTGCATCAGTACAAAGAATTGACAGATACGTTAAGAATTTTTGGTATTTTGTACTCAGCACTTTTACGTTATCGCACTCTGCAGAATGCACAGCTATTAAATTCGCAAGTACGTACATTTACAAGAACTGCTCACGTGTACCGGTAGTAGCTGAACTCCAGTACACAAGTTGAAGAGGAACAGCTCTCTGTATTTAGCACGTAAATGAATATTGCACACATCAAGTAGAATTGTTGGCCCTGTGCTTTTGCCAGACTTGGAAAACCACTCTGAGGATCAAAAAGAGATGGTACGAACGCATGAAAGAAACAATATTGCGCCTGTTTAGGTGCCACCGATCAGTCCAGGACCTCAGCGGCAGCCGAGCGTCGGTAACGTTCTCGCTCGAACCTCTAGCTTTGGATCACCAGTAGGATCCTTCCTACCTAGACAATCCAGCCAAACTCCCTCTAGTGCAAGCAATGGTCTCCAGCGACAATCTGCTGCTGGAAGCGCGCTACCAGGATCCCCTAGTGCTATTCCTAGACAAAATAGCGGCGGCGCCGCCAGCACAACCAGCAGTAGTAGCACTAGTGGTGTTACTCGTCAGGGTTCACAAGGTTCACTCTTTGAACAGATTGCTACCCAAGCGAAGGATCTGGTACGTGAGACTACGAGGCAGAGCAGTCAGGACGGCATACTTGCTCATATGGACAAGGTATGCACTGTCAGTGTAAAAATAAAATATTAATATAATTAATAACATTGTTAATATCTTAGCTCAAGCACCAGGCCAGGGAAAAGATCACGGAAGCAGGAGAGGACAGTCTTTTTGCGCCACTGGAACAGGCAAATACTTTACAATTTGAAATAATAAAAATATTTGACAGCTGAATAAATAATCTCGTTCTGCTTCCACTTTTTGTATTAGCTGACACAACAAACCAAGAAAGCTATGGGAGAGGCGACCAAATCTGTACAGGAGGCTTCAAAGACTGCACTAGAGGCTAGCAAGACTGCTGCTGGTGTCAGTAAAAATACTTTGGACGATTTGACGTATGTGGGTAAAAGCACCTTTGGAGACTTCACAAAGAGTGCCAAAGAAGCCGCCGCGAAGAAGGGATTATTGATGGTTAGTAAACAATTATTGTAATAATTGAGTGAAATAATAACTAGGTTAATCTTTTAATATCATATTCAATCTTTTGTTCCAGGGACTCGGTGAGTCTCAGCAGCAGTCACCGCCGCAGACTCCTCCGTCGCCTCACTCTACAACGTCCTCGATGGCGACTTCCGGTGGTGGTCCAGGATCCCAGCGACGAGACTCTTCCAACAACCAATTGGTTGCTTCGGATTCGCGTGGCGTCCGTCGTGACATTGGACGTGATTTCTTCAGCAATTTTAGTAGCGACCTGAACGGTATCGCTGCTCACACAAGCAGCATGTTTAGTGATCTCTTTGGTGAGTCAATTGACACGTATCATCTGGCCAATACCCTGTAAAAGATAGCTCTGTAGGATATCCCCAGCATGTCATCAAAAACAGAATTGTTGAAAATTTCTAAAAAAAAATTCTCACAAGAAGGTTAATTACCAATGTCACCATCTGAGTGCGTGTAATCTGATCTACAGGCAATAAGAATAGCTCTAATCGAAACGCTAGCGTTCTCCCCCAGTCGCAAAAATCCAAAGAAAAGACCCAGCCATTCGGACCCTTCCCTAAAGGTACGAGCAACAACTGTTGTTATCAACAACAAAATTTCCTTACCGCATGCAAGAAAAAGATTGCATGTTGATATTGTGTACCCAGTAGAAAATCAAATATTCTGCTTTCTCCTTGTTCTGTTTTCTTGACATTAGGCAGGAAAGGTCTTGTGGAACGCTCGTCGCTTATCAAACACTCCACCAATAAAACCAGTCAGGAAGAATTACAACGACTGCAGAGCGCCGAGCGCTCCAGCACGAATAGCGACAATCAGGCCTTCCTCACGGACGTTAGTATCTTTCAGAATGCACCTGCTATGTACTCTTTACATCAAATTCCTATTGCTAATTATTCTTTGATACAGATTGTAAATCAAGTGCTGCAAGGTGAAGGTGTTGGATGGCTCAAACTTAATCGACTTAAAAAGCTCATGGAGGACGAAAGCTATAGAAATCTTGTTGTAACCAAGTTGAACAAAGCTTTGGACAGAAAGATCAGTCCAGATGATCACATCGACGATGTTGTGAGTTTACATTTTTTTATTGGTATCAGAGTGTTTTGTTGTAATCAGATATAGAGTGAAAAGAAAATTAATATTTGTTCACAGTGCATCACAAGACCAGTTTATAAAGGGATGCTCAAGTGCCTTCAAGCAGTGGTTCATGGTCTCGCTCATACTTATACCAATTTTGGATTGGGTGGTATGGCCTCTGTTTTTCAGTTGATGGAAATTGCTCACACTCATTATTGGAGTAAAGATCTCTCCGAGGGAGCATTTGACAGTTCAGTGATTTCGCAGGTCCTGTCACTTTATTGACTTTTATTAAAAAATAAAAGAACTTTTCCAATCCTAAAGCACTAATGATTAATATGGATCTCGTTGTGTAGACATCCAGTCCCTTTGGCAGTAGAGAAAATCTAAGATCTCCACAGTCGCCAAAGCACGGCGAGTTCTTAGACATATCTCAAAAATCTGGCTCTCACCAACCCACACAAGGTACGTCAATACCTTTGAAATCTTTTTCATTGTTTTTTCAAACATGATAATTCTGTTTGCTTAGAACCACCGCAAGTGCGACTCGAGATGTCTCATCCACAAATGCAAGGATCCGATGAGAGTCAATCGACAACCGACATGTTTCTGGACATGTTCGCCAAGAAAGGAAAACTTCTGTCAAAACTAACATCCTTTGACTCTGAGGTAGACCACAATTACGGTTCTGTCATAATTCTGGTCTGAGTACAAAGATCAAAGGGAACTCGAATAGCCATTTTCTGTTGGACTTTGACAAAATATCGTATCGTCTCTCTCTGCAGTGTTCAACGCGATTAAATTCGTGTATACGCTTCTATCCCAAGAGAAAGAGAAGAGCGAGTTTGAAACTTAAATACACAGAATGGCGAATTGCAAAGCCGAATTGCATGCCGACACACGCTGTCTTGTATTGTAGGGTGGGCGCGGTGCCGGAACCGGAAGCAGCGAAGCCCTATCTACCGATGGGGGCAGCATTATCACTAATCCTGCGTTTCGTCAGGCGCATCAAGCCTCCTTTCGCAGTACAGTGTCGGACAGTGAAGTTGAACAAGGCAACGTGAGTCCAGCAGCAATAATGCACACAATAATCAACGGCAATTACTTCACTAATAGAATCGCTTTGAATCTACTAAATTGAATTAGAACCCTAGCTCGCTCGCTCCCTCGCTCAGCTGATTTGCTAAGTAACTCGCTTCTCTATATACTCTTGGTAAAGTAGTACAATTACTTCCTGATGTTTCAGTTTCCAAGGACGAACAAACAACGTACAGCCAGTGTCTGGTCCAGTAAATCATCTTTGAGTACCGGTTTCAGGTATCACGGTGGAAGTCTAGTACCAACGGCGACTACACCTAGTCCGGAAACTGCCAGAACTTATCTCTTTGAAGGTACTTTTATGCGTTTACTTAAATAATATAGATTTCGAGTCTATTCTAATTAATTTCAATTGCACAACAGGCCTTCTTGGAAAAGAAAGATCATCACTCTGGGATCAAATGCAGTTTTGGGAGGATGCATTCCTAGATGCAGTATCTCAAGAACGTGACATGGTTGGAATGGATCAGGGACCTGGTGAGATGATGGAAAGGTATGTTATATATCATAAGTTTATCCAACTGCTTTTTCGAGTAAACCTGAATTCTCTTTGACTAGGTACAAAAGTCTCAGTGAGAGTGAGCGACGTCGTTTGGAGCACGACGAGGACAGACTTCTCTGTACTCTGCTGCACAATCTCACAGCGATTCTTGTGATGCTAAACGTCGAAAAGTCGGAACTGAAACGTAAAGTGCGAAGACTACTTGGAAAAAGTCACATAGGGCTCATTTACAGCCAAGAATTGAATCAGCTACTCGATCAAATAACCAATCTCGTGAGTCCTCTTCCATCATCGTATCACTCATCTTCCACTTGAAAGCTTACAGCGAACGTGTAATCACTCTGAAAAATAATATTGTTAACTAATACCCATTTCAGCATGGAAATGACATCGACTTAAAACCGTTGACCTCGAGACAAATGCACAGGCAATCATTTACCGTGCACGCAGGGGTAGATGCAGAAGGTGATTTACGGTTTCTAGAAGTTCGTCACGACGGACTAGTACTGAGATCCGTCAATGGTGTCATCGTCGAACGTTGGTGGTACGAACGTCTGGTCAATATGACTTACAGTCCAAAGAACAAGGTTCTTTGTCTCTGGAGGCGAAATGGTGGTCAGACTCAGTTGCACAAATATTACACAAAAAAGGTGTCTGAAGAGTATTTTTAACTATACGTACCATAGATATAAGAACGTTACTAGATACGTCTACAACTCTCTTTTCGTTATGTACAGTGCAAGGATCTGTACTACTGCATAAAGGACGCCATGGAAAAGGCTGCGGCTCGTGGACGCGGTGCCAACGTCGGCGTGGAACTAGGCGGTGAGTTTCCCGTGCAGGATATGCGCACGGGAGAAGGTGGACTTCTTCAGGTTTGCATGGAAGGCGTCGGACTACTCTTCGCGAATAGCAAGGTACGACTCATAAAACTATATTCGTAAGTACAACCGATTGATCGGTATCGATCAATCGATCGATGTTGTACCTGATCCCCAAAGTTTCTATTTAATATATCTTATGCTCGTTGCCTCGTTTTACGTTTAGTCCGTATATATACGTCGCGACGTAAACCAAGTGCATTAATACCGACTGCGCTATAATAATCGTGCACCCTCGAGCAATAAAAATCGAATCTAATTTAATGAAATTAGTATCGGGAACAGAACAGAACAGAAAAGGAAGAAAGCGATGTTATTCAATTTAAATCAGTATGGTTATTCTTTTCGGAATTGAAATCTCTCATACGACAGTCCGTTTTTCTCCTTGCTGTTTACCCTATCCTTATCCTCGTTCAATCCATATTCTCTTATAGCAGGTAGGCTGTCAAGATGGCGCGACGCGCCGAATGACAATACTATTGACCGAGTAAGATGGCGAAACTCCAAATGAGATACGTGCGCGCGCGCGCGCGCGCGCAAATACAAAGTACGGATAAGAAGCTGTTGGACCAAGATTGAGTGAGGGTTTTGGGATGCGCAATCACTACCACGATCCATATCCATGGCTACCAATAATATCCCATTGGCATTAGCTTTCTCGAGCCCTGTCAATCTGTTTGTCTACCTGCTCATAACTTTTTCCCAAGCCATCCTTCTCCACCTCCTCTTCTCCTTCTTTCCCTTTGACACTCTTAATATCTCTGTCTCCTAATTCCCTCTGTCATGTTGTTTCATACTGTCTGTATCCGTTCATCTAGTTTAATTGTCAAGATACTTATTTGTGATCTGTCTATACCCATCTGGATACATTCCTTGTCTTTCAAGCATTTTCCCATTAAAAGCCAGCTATCTCTCGCTTTCATTTGCAAGGACCACTCGGTACTGACTCCCATTGCTAGCCATTGCATTTCCCTTTATATTTTTTGTTTTCACTCGTATAGTATCTTCACGGTCATATGTCCATACGCGCGTGCGTGCGTGCGTGCGTGGAGAATGGATATGCGTTGTTCGATCAGCACATACGCATAATTCCAGGCATTTACGAGAGTTGCGTTGTAGCACTTGCAAGTGCAATACTGGAATCATAAACATAGTACATTGTTAACGTCGAGGAATGTGGAGGGGCGGGAGGGTGGACGCTGAGATATATTGTCTAGGATTTTTTCTAATTGGCTAATTAATTATTAGAAAAATCTCGTTAATTGGATACCGCGTACGATCCACATAGAACGATAATTGGATGCCGTTGAAATTAATAAATTAATATATTTACAATGGCACAGTCGCAGATTTTAATGTTGGGTATAGATATATTGATTGAATAAAATGTCAATAATAAATTATTATTATTAGATACGTGACGTTTGACGTTGTTAAAAAGCAATAAAATTTTAATAAATTATATTTCACAAATCTGAGACTGTGGCCATATGGCAAAGAAGCGCAAGATATATCGGAGTGCCTATACAGGGTATATCGCATTTATAAAAGCGTGACAGTTATGTGAACGCGAACACGTTACCTACTCGAGAGTAATTTCATATTGTTACGGTCAAAGCTCACATTTGTAAGATTCTGATTTATTATCGGTATTTACGTTGAGTACATTTCGTTTAAGCGTTCTTCAATGTTTTCTTGCATGGAGCTCGGTGTGCAGCTGCAATCTCTTTCATCTGTATTATAATTATATTCTCTTAATCAACTATTACGTCCATGGGAATCGAGAGTGAATTATTACATATGGTTTCTTCAACATCCATTGTCTATTTCCAATGTCCAAGTCTCTCTACTTCAGTCTTATTATATTTCTCTCTCTCTCTCTCTCTCTCTCTCACTAAATCTAACTCACTCTGTCCTACCCCATAATATTTATTTCATTCCGTCTCTGTCTGTCTGTCTGTCTAAAAATCTTCTTTGTCTTTTCATCTCTTATGATTTGTATTGAATGTTGGATGCTATTACTATATCTTTCTACGAGTCTAACAACTTTTTATCTGTCGTGGTGACGTACGAGAAAAGTCTATTTACCGTTCGGAGCGGCCAGAGAGAAAAGAAAAAAAGAGAAAGATAAGCGTAGTAAGAAAAAAAAGAACAGAAGTGAAATAACAAAAGAAAAAGAAAGAAAATCATTAGAAAATCAAGTCACGCGTCCCAGTCCGTCGGTGTCCGTTCCAAAAAAGGTCCCCGACAAAAAAAAAAGGGCGCTTGTTACGTCACAAGAGCGAGAAGGCGGAATGCGTCGTCCGTTGTTCGTCTCTGGTATACAAAAAGCCTTTTACAATCGTCGCCGCCGTCGTCAACGTCGTCGTCGTCTTTTATTTTTCATTTTTTTTTTCAATTTTTTTTTTTTTTCGTTCAATCGTCACAACTTGTCGCCGAACGCGTAACACGGCCAGAGGATGATGATGGACTTTTCTCAGCTAAGGGAACTTTTGAGATGGTCCTTGAACAATGAAAGTTCGCCACGCCGTCTCCTTCGGCGATGTACGGGATGTTTCACCAGGTCCCCACGATATTCCAAGATGTATGGACATACGCAAGCCCTGATATATATACATATATTTATGTACCTCAGGGTCTCGTTTTAGACGTCGTTTTTTCCTTTTTCTTTTGTCCCGCGACCAATGCGCCTCCGTGCCAGCAGCCTAAAGAGAAAAATTCTAATAATAATTTAGGCAAGGCACTGAAATCGCTCTATAGCGACGTAATTGTATGGCGCAAGAGAGAACGAAAAAAGAAATAACTAAAGTAACTAGGAATAAAAGAGAAAGAAAGAAAAAAAGTTAAAGAAATACCCAATTGCGAATACTTCGCCGCTGCTCAATTTAATTTTATGTTTTTCTGTTTTCTGTTCTTGTCCTGTCTGTCGACATTGCCCTGGCTGGGCAAACAGGATTTCGAGGTATTACTCAACGAATCGTTGTTTGTTACCAATTCAGTATTGATTATATAATATATTCAGTGTTGGCCGTGTTCCGGAAATGCTTATTTACTTTACCGTTACTTTTTAGTCGTATTATACATCGTTATTATTATTATATATACCTAATATAACATAAAGTTCTCGAATTGCACTTGAATCGATTGATCTGCTCTGTCTCTCTACTTGACTGTTTTCCTGCCATTGATCGGTGTTAGCTGTGATATACCTATATGTTCTCGTCCAATGCAATACGCGTATATATTAAAAACATATATATATAAATACTCTATATAGAAATATTTATATATGTATACACACATATATATGTCGTACGACCGATTCACGTGCCAGTCCCGCTAGTAACGTACGAAGTCGTCAGGGTGTCGTCATCTTTAAAAAAAAGAACCCATCACTTATAAATCAATATAATAATTATTCAGTTTGTACCTTCGATGGATTGTCTATTCGCGAACCCTGAAATACCATCGTTAATCACGTGGATAGAATTTAATCCATTTTTGGAACACCCATCGACGACCCCCTGTTAAGACACACTCGTCCTGCTTCTCGGCGACGATGGACGTCTTCGTTCCAGCAACGTAACTCGACAGCGTCGTTCTTCAAGACCAACGTTATCATCCCCCGACGCATAACACAGCAGAGCCATCCTGGTCACGATGGACGATTGACACCTGGATCCCGATGACGCCGATCAGCACCGTCATCGTCGCCGAGAACGACGCCGACGTTATTCACGGTCCTGGTACCGGAAGAGGCAAAAATTTCATCCATCGGAGAGACGATGCATTTATTATCTGTACAACGCGAGTTTTCAACGTATAGCTGAAAAGTTCTTGAAAAATTTCGGAGTGCGGCCGTAGAGAGTGTGTGACCCCATAGCACCAAGTCGTGTAGTGACACCCGTAGTGCCTTACGAATATCCCATAACTCAAAACACTACTCGACTCTCATTCCCAAGACCTGGAGACCAGCTTCGAGATAAGGAAATATCGAACGGTCACCCGCTCTTGTTTATAGCCCGCCTCTATATATATATATATATATGTATACACATCCACACACTATATATCCACTTTTCTAATACCATCCACAACCCGCCAGGCACAAACCTGACTTATATCCCAACCGTACAATTATTTATCCTGATCCAATCACAAGATCAACCCAGTAGAGCAGAGGATTGGTTGCATACATAAGAGCTCCGTCTCCTTGATACGCTCTATACTACAGTTCATTAATTAAACTTTCATCTTCTTTTTCTATTTTCTTCAACTATCGTTCTACTATTACTATTTCTATCGCTACCAATACTGTTCCCGTATGTATACACTGTTTTACTTCACTTGCTACGACTACTACCCCCCTTTCATCAAACTTCATCCTTCTTCCAACCCCCCTGTACCCTCCCCCCTCCTCCTCCTCCCTTATTCTACGTCCAACTTTCACTCATCGACTCTTTCACTTTTCATTCGGCTTTTACAATTTTACGTTATATCTTCGTTTCTGACTGCATCCCACTGATGGTATCTTCTACCGTCGCAGGTGATCACTATATTGTAGTCTTCACTGCTGTATTCCCACTTATTGACATGTCTATCGATCACGATCACACTTATATGGCATGGCACTTTGCTACACGATGTTTTATAGTTTTCTCGATTAACCGACACGTAACGAACAATTAAGATATACCAACACACATCCGATACTACTGCAACTAAACTGTGACTGTGCATCATTTGCCGGGGACTACATGTCCGCCGTTAAATTAGATAATATACAAGTGCACATTGAAACAATTTAATCGATGCTAAGCGATCGACAATGTAAGATGAATTTAGGCCATCTCCAGAGTTGCCTGCTGCTACTGCCATATATATATATATATTAGACATATATAATATATATGTATACTATTCACTGTTATGCTATAGCGTTTGCGCTAGTGTTTGCCATAGCGTATGCTGTTTATAACGTTTATTACTCAGTTTTCGCTTTTAGCTTTTACCTTGTAGCGTACAGCTGTATCTGACTGATGCTGAATTATCCAAAAGTCAAAATTATCCTGATGCCTCAAGTACCAGGCTCATTGCTTGAATATGCCTGAACATGGCTGAACGAATGCCTGGCTAAATGCCTATACGAATGGCAGCTTATCCTATCTCACTGTCCTTTTCCACATTATTCCAATTCCTTAGATCAGAGAATTTCTTTTTTTTTCTCTTTCTCCATTTTCTTTTTTACTTTTCCTCTTGTGTCTCTCTTTCTCTGTTAACCTTTACCTTCTTTTAGTCCATTTTATCACAATTTCCTCTGCGAATCGAATCGGATCGTGTGAATATACTCTTTTAATGTTGACATTTATCTAGTTGCAAGGAGCATTTTACTTGTTTCCTGTATATTTGATCCGATACGGTACGCATTTGGTCTCCTGAGCCTCGAATGCTACTTTGAAGCATGCATGCAATCCTTACACTCCAAAGTCTCTGCTGCGAACTTAAATTGCACTTTCATTGGTCTAATCTTCTGCGTTTACCTTTTTTACAGTTTTTCGTAAGACTCGATCATATCCGCAAGTGCTTTACTCAGAAGGGTGGGATCTTCGTTTTGGAAGAGTTCAGTAAGTCTTTTAATGAAATCCTTGAGCCTCCACTTTCCGTCTTACTGTTTTACTTCTGGTATGTTAATCATCCTTTAATCTGTACAGACCCCAAAACTAGACAAGTAATTCAACGTAAATATAAGTCGCAAATGGTAAGTAATCAGTACCTTCTTTGCCTTCTCTATTGACTTTCATCTGGCATCGATTCGTTGCTCACGTAATTAATTAAAATTACAGGCAGATCAGATCTGCTACGCCGTACTCTGCGTATTCTCTTATTTGGCGGCGGGGTTGGAGCAGCGAAAACAGCTGCAGCATCATCAACAACAACAGCATCAACAGCAGCATCAGCATCAACATCAACATCAAATGGCACAATCTACTTCCGGTACAAGACACTCGGAACCTTTGCCACGTAATCACTGACACAAAGGTAGACATTCCCTTCCGTTCGTTCACAATTACAACAGTTGCGCTCCTTACGCCTGTCTGCCTTGGGTATGAAGACCCGGTGAACGTCGGAGATCTTCTTCAAGTTGTCAACATTGACGACAGCGCTTATGGATCATCTAGATGATAGAAGTAGAACGTAGTAAGATATCGTAGCCAATATTGATACGCCAGTATCATAATTCGCCGTCGTCTCATCGTCGTTGTAGTTCCTGGTGATCCCTAATGAAAAACTGAACTATTAGGAGTCTATGTTTTATAAAGTAAACTAAAGCCCGATTAGATCCCTAAATTCGCTCGACAAAAATCCAGGGCGCGATAATACGCTCATCCTGATGTTTATCGCATCCTTACGGAAATTATAACTCACCCACCGAGGACGCCCACGTCTAGACAATATTATTGACGAGTCTGCGCTCATCGTAATATACATGTGCATAATGCGCGAGATACATAGCTAAAATATTACATAACTGTATTTATCATGTGACGCGTCTGGTTGATCGACGCGTCTTCATCGTGAAGCAACAACATTGGCTCGACGCTACAAATAACGGTTGTTGCACTTTGTATAGATTAACAGAGAAACGTAGTATCTATCTAAACGGCCACACCTTTGTAAACCCCCTTTGTAGACATTATCTACAATTATTTATTATTTATGTATGTATATATATATTACGAATACTGTAAATATATATACATGTATTTGTAACTACTTGAGAGCTGTGAAACACGCAACTTTACTGGCGAATGTACTTATTGTACGTTCTGTATGTTCTGACACGATCTTACAGTTACGGATCATCTCAATTGGCATTTATCAATGACGCTGATTCAAAATATATTATGAGATGCCGCGCAGGTTATTATTATTATGCCGTTCGTACAGAACGCACTTTAAAGATGAATGGCATAGTTGTCCTACGCAGTCTGCGTGGATAGAACAAGCAATATGTAAGGAATCGCAAGTATAGGCTGAATCTTTTAGCGTATGACTTTATTGCACATCGAATCGCGCGTTTCTTGTGAAAGTCACAAATTTACGTGACACGAGAATCGATAAGATGAAAGCATACCGGAAGTTCATCCTAGCTGTGCTTCTCTCTTACTTCCTTTAACATATTATGGGTCATGCATATTGTAATGCGTGATTCTCCTATTTCCTTTCATCTATCCTCGTCCCTGACTTCCCTTCCCGACTCGTTCCCACTCCTGTTTCTAATTTCGTGTTTTTCAAATGTATAGATTTACTTTGAGTTATGTAGTTTGGATAAATGTATGTGAGAGTTAGATAATGCAATAATTGTTTTATATTTCCCTGAACCACGACAGTCTTTAGTATGTATGTCTTTTAGTCAATTTAAGTTCTGTAAACAATTTATTATCAATTGGAGCATATGTAACGACCGTATCCAGTATCAGGAAGAATTTAATGAAATAAGAAACAAAGGATTTTTTTTTCGACATCTTCGCTTTTAGTCATTTTCAGATCTGTACATTCGATAAGCACACCTTGTCCCAATGTTAGTAGTTGATATTGTATGTACGCTATATTTGCAACATCAGCATAAACTTATTCACATACATAAACATATATATATATTTCATGGATTTATAGTGTTTCTCATTTTTGTCCCTTATAGATAATTGTCTATTATGAATTATACTTCCATGGGCAGGTTCTCTTGACGTAAACAAGTTTTTACTCTTTTTAAAATAGCATTCGTTCAAGTACTTTTCTGATCCTTGTAAGAAACAACTAAATTTTTCACGTTGACATTTTTAAAAGCACGTGATCGAATTGATTTACCAATAGCTACGAGTGCTCACTTCAATGAACGGTCAGTGCTATAACGCGCACCATTCTTGAGTCGCCCTTTTTGCTTCTTCATACTAGAACTTTGATTTTCATGTATTGCAGCAAAGGTTTCCTTTGCTAGTAATTTGTACCACAATACTGTCTTAAAAATTAAAAATTTGAGCTCTTGCGACTTTTTTGCCTTTTATGATGTCTGCAAAGTCGGTTTCATCATTCTTATCTGGTGGTTTGGTATTAGCTGGCCATTTTTCATCAGTTACTGTTAGTCAATCAATCCCTTTTCGAAGTTTCCACCTGTAAAACCAGCCATTACTAGCTCTGAAGTTTTTATTGCGACCTAATTGCACATTCAGTTCTAGAGCCTTGATTTGTAGAATAGACATAGAGACTGGAATGACATCCACTCGCGCTTGCAAAAACCATGCATATAAAGCATTGTCAATATCTAAATTTGCTGCTGTCCTTTTTTTCTTTTGATTTTGGAAGTTATCCGTCTCACAAATTTCCCTTATTTCGTCCTTTTTTTGCTGCCACCTTCACAATACACTTTGGTGCAGACCCGTAAATTCTCTAATCTCTGATTCAAAAAGAAAGTTATTGACCACGAAAAATCGATGCGATGCTAGTTAAAATTTTGAGAAGTTAGACGAATAAAGAATTTATTAAAAAACTGAGGTTAAGTGGATCAACTCATTTAAAAATGATGAAAATGAAATGATGCTGAAACTTTGCCTTTATTGCTCAGATATCCACTTTTAGACCCAGGCACCATGCACTTTCTAGTCATTGTTGTTCTGTTAAATACAACCATGGTCTATTACAAAATTATAACGTATACAAGACCATGATTACAACGAACGAAGCTGCAGGTTATGTACCTCAGTGAAGTTTCTTCCTTCCTTTCCTTATGGCTGCCTCCTCATACTGTGGAAACTACCTTCCGTCTTTCCTTATGGCTGTATCCTCAATGGGGGACATGTGCTAGAAGGAATACTTCCATCGGAGCTGCCATGATCAATAAATTTTTTACTGTTGGTAAAGTAGATGTTTGGACTGATTGCGCCACAGAATTGTAACCTCAGTGAAGTTAACCGGGCAATTTTAACTTTTTAACTTTTTATCATACTAAATCGATTGGTGGTCGTTTGGTGGTCAGTCATTCTTTTATAATCAAATAATCAAAATTTGACCGTGAAGTTAGCCGAAATTTTTTTTTCTCAACGAAATAAGTTTTTCAGGTGCTCAATCGATGCGTAATTGTTTAGTGGTAACGAATATCATAATTAAAATGTTTGGTGGTCGTTAGTTTTCGTAAAAAATAAAAAAAAAACAATTGCAATGTCCAGCATTGACTAGATATGGGTGTAGGAACACACATTTACGGTCGATAAAACAGATATTTCTGAACAGATTCTCCCTTCGAAAGAATTAATCAATGCAAGAACGCTAGCCGATGATTGGTAGTCTAATTAACTTAACTTCACGGTCAAATTTTGATTATTTGATTATAAAAGAATGACTGACCACCAAACGACCACCAATCGATTTAGTATGATAAAAAGTTAAAAAGTTAAAATTGCCCGGTTAACTTCACTGAGGTTACAATTCTGTGGCGCAATCAGTCCAAACATCTACTTTACCAACAGTAAAAAATTTATTGATCATGGCAGCTCCGATGGAAGTATTCCTTCTAGCACATGTCCCCCATTGAGGATACAGCCATAAGGAAAGACGGAAGGTAGTTTCCACAGTATTCCATGAACTAATGCGCCACTAGTCACGCCGGTCCCGAAACAGAACTGAAAGAAAAAGAAGAGATAAATCAAGGATAAAAGAAGCCATTATCGCTTTTAAGTTATTGCCGAAATAATGATAGTGTGATATTTCTCAAAGTACATTTTAATTTAATCATGGGTACTTTTCGAAGTTTCGTCGAGGAGAATATACGCTATGAAATTTTGGCTTTGATAGCGTTAAGCTTCCTTTGGGAGTTTTACCTGAGTTTACGTCAGGTTGGTATTTTTTATCTTACACGATTTAATTATTTACAAGCTAACAGATTTATATATTTAATACACTATACTATTGCACAGTAAATTTTTGCATTCAGAGTACTATATGCTTTCATCACTTATTGTCGATATGTCATTATGCATTCTTCCGACACACAACTAAAGAACATTTTTAATATTGGAATAATATATGTTACAGAAAAAGTTAATGCAGAAGCTGGTGGAGCTACCAGAATGTCTTAATGGAATACTGACAAAAGATCTTTATGATAAGGCACGCAGTTACGCACTTGCTAAGAGTACATATTCTAACTATCAAAATTTGTATTCAACATTATTCACTGTGGTAAGTCGACTAATATTTTTTATCTGCAGTGAAATAGAAAAATATGTAAAAATAGTATCATAAATATATCTTTTATTATCATTTTAGATATTGATATTAACATTCTCATTCTATCTCTTTTGGGAATGGGCTACTGCAATAGCAATTAAAATAGGTTTCAGCACAGCCAATGAAATCCTTATAAGTGCAATCTATATGTTTATCATTAACATGTTAACTGTACTTGTTGATTTCCCTTTCAAAGTCTATAATACATTTGTCTTGGAGGAAGAGTATGGTTTTAATAAGCAGGTACGTAACATTGAAAGAATATTTCATATTAATATGCTATATTTATTCATCTAAATTTTTCCACATCTCTTAGTGTTATTTCCCTTTCTCTTAGACTGTACGCTTCTTCATAAAGGATCAGGCTCTAAAACTACTTGTGACCCAACTGATTGCACTACCTCTGATCTGTAGTATAATTTGGATAGTTCAAAATGGTGGAGAATACTTCTTCGTGTATCTCTGGCTGTTTACTGTGGCAGTTTCACTGTTCATGCTAATTCTTTATCCGGAAGTTATAGCTCCACTATTTGACAAATATTCACCACTGCCAGAGGGAGAGCTAAAAACACAAATTGAAGCTCTAGCTGCTTCGATAAACTTTCCACTGTATAAGCTTTACATAGTTGACAGTTCGAAAAGATCTTCACATAGTAATGCTTACTTGTACGGATTTCACAAATACAAAAGGATCGTATTATTTGATACTCTAGTTAAGGAATATTACAAGCCTGATGAAAAAGACGGAAAAAAGGATCAAGGCTGCGAAACTGATGAAGTTGTGGGTGTACTAGCACATGAACTTGGTCACTGGAAATATAATCACACTGTCAAAGGTTTCTTTCTTACCCAGGTAAATGATCGATTTATTTATTTATCATTTAAAATAATCTGTCTTCTGTCAACTATATTATTTCTAGGTCAACCTGATGATAAACTTCATTCTATTTGCCAAATTATTGCATTATCAACCAATGTACACAGCTTTTGGATTTACGACCGTTCAACCGATATTCGTCGGTCTCATTATAGTTATGATGTATATCCTTATGCCCCTAAATACCGTGAGTCACTTTTATTTGTATAATATACCTTATATGTGGAATTTAAATACTAATTGTCTTCTTGTTGGCAGTTAATGGGTTTCGTGTATACTGTGAATTCAAGAAAGTTTGAATTTGAAGCAGATATGTTCGCAAAAAAACTTGGACATGCTGAACCCATAAGAAGGGCACTTATTAAGCTGCATAAGGATAATCTAGGATATCCACTATTCGACAAACTTTATTCTGGATGGCATCATGATCATCCACCTCTTCTCCAGAGATTGGAAGCTCTTAATAAGGAAGACTAATTTTAAACATCAGGTATTACAGTATATGTACTACAACTGTATATCATATAGTGATTGGTTTAAAATTGTATGCAAAAAGTGATAATACTGCATTGACATACACAGTTAGCAAAGACACCAGCTACCTGATTTTAAACTGATATTTTTGTGTGCATTTTTATTCTTATACGTTACTAGTATGGACCGTAGTTATCTCTTTCAAGTCCAACAAGAGTTTGATAATATACAGTCTTAGATGTTCGTTATACTTTGTAATATTATTTTCAAAGAAAGTTTTCCTTTTTGTAAATTTTTCTACATACAATCATAATGGTCATATCTTCTCTCCAGTACACTGCGAGAGGTTTAATCAATTTCTCGTTTTTTCTAATTGAGTTTATAAAAATCGACATTTCATTTCTATTTTGCTAAGGAACAACAGGTGTATAAATTATACATGGATAAAGGATATAGAGAAATATGCCATTTATTATTAAAATAAAATGACAGACTAAAATATTTGTATGGTAATTGTGCTGAAAGGAATCATACCAAATGTTAGCATACCAATAAAGTGAAATGTATTAAACAAAACCCAGTTTATAACTAATATCCACTTATTTGGTTGGTTCAACTGTGACTAAACTTTCAAATAAAAAACATATTTTCATAATTCATATTAAAATTTCTTCATAGTAAAGACATGACAGTAATTAAGGATAGGCTTACGTCATGGTTCAAAATTGACAAGTGTCTTAGCGATAGCATCAATCCAGATAGAAACTGCGTAGGCTCCAGCATCCACTCCTTGGAGATAAATGGCTTGGCTGACATAACTGGCACGACCAGCTCTGCAAAGGATCATGAAACAATTAATGAAACAGAAATCAAAGACGGACATTGGTACAATAATTGGTCATACTTAGGTTTCATATCTTTTGTTGAATTACAACCAAGACGTGCTGCTTCGGCAGCTTTTACAGCAGCTTCTTTGTATGGTCTGGATAAATGTCCTTCGAATTCCTTACATGCTGCATCCAAAGCATCCAACTGAATGATCAAAAAGTTATGTGTACATTATATCTATAATACATTCTTAACAATAGAAAATAGCTTAAAAAAGTAACCATTGTTCTGTCATCCAAACGAGCCTTGCTGTATCGCATTATACCCTCCAAACCACCACGCCATGCATGAGCCCAGGAATGCATCCAGGATTCATCTTGCTTCGCAAGGGCAAGTTCTGTGGCTGCTGTAGTAAACATGAGACAATATATAGCTCCGGATGTTCCACCCATGCATTCCTCTGCAATATTTGACAGTTCACTAAGCAACGAGGATGGGTACGACAAAGATAGACTGTCTATAGAAGCAAGAATGCCTAAAAAATACAAAATAGCATATTTTTTTTTCGTTTTCTTTACTGACTACCGTCATTCTGGTGCACTAGAAGCCACTTAAAAGTTTACCTTCAGCCAGGTGTCGCAGTGTAGTGCCACAATCACCATCGCCACAGCCACTGTCCAGATCATTAATGATGGCTTCTTGTTCGATAAGAGCAGTGCTAGCATTTTTTAGACACTTTTGTAAAAGCGCCTCTTCCGCCTCGTTAAGTGCACGGCCAACTCTTACGGTTCTTTTCCTTTTTTCTTCGTAGAAGGGTTCTCTGGGTATGTCTACGGGTAAGCTGTAATCACATCCTGGCCAGCTTGGTGCATTTGTTTTCTCATCCAAACAGCTGATGAGAGTGTCTTTGTAGTGCTCCGGCAGTTTTAAAATTGATATGTGAACTCCAGCACTATTCAAGCATGTCATCAGTACACCAGCATATACACGTAGCGGTTTTATACCCTTGTATTCTATGATAAACATACGTAATGTTTTTACAAACTATTCCTAACGCACTATTTTACTTTAGTGCATTACCACCACAACAGTTTTACTTTATCGCTCACAACTACTCTTATAACTAAACTTGATAATTCAATATGCCCCTCTGATAAACTCTCTTAAACTTCAGCGATTAACTGCATTTAAATGCCATAAAAGCTTAACATAAAGTCCACATAATTAGAGCAATCAGAAGTTGTTCTCTTTCTTGAATCTTTTTGTATCAGCACTTTTTAGAGTCGATTATGACCATAGAGGCGCTCGATCCGCGCGATCATACAAAGAGTCGACTGTATAACTATAAATTGGTTCTTGAGAACATACAAATGAAAGTACGTTTCATGATACAAGTGACCAGAACGTAATAAATTTCAATGTAAAACATACAACACTCTTTTAAGCCATGTAGCACCAAGAGCTGTACAATACTTACTCAACTGTGTGACAACTTCGCGAACTATAATCCCCTGTTCCAGCTGGCTAGTTGCTCCGAAATTATTAACAATAACAGCAACGGAATTACCGTTTACTAGCGACAAAATTTTCTCAATTTGTTCTAGCATCAACGCCGTCACTTCCGCTGCATTCATTAGCTTTATGCGCTTGTAACCTGCCTCAGCATGAACACCAAGTCCTATTTCTATCTCATCGTCCGGAATGTTGTATAGCGTTGTTTGTCCTAGCGAAAAAAGAAGAATCCTTGACAATTATGAAACAATAATTAAACCTTCGTTGTCAGACTGATGCGAATTTGTACCAGCGTATTTCTATTTCTCTATGTATCTCTTTTCTAAATCGTTTGGACTTAATTTGTTAGTGTTACGTTTATATTCGAAAATGTCATCATTGGAATTGTGACGTTCTATACTTACAAAAATACTAGTATTAAATGAAAGTTGGTCCACTTGAATCTAAGCTACTGAAAATGCAAAGTCAAACTCGTACTAGTGTGACAAAGCGGAATACAGAAATTCACCATAACAAGGGAATTATTAATATGACAATTTACCAACCAGGCAAAGCACAACCAGATAATCCAACAGCGTATGTTGCTATATTGCTGGCGACTATTTCTGCACTCGTGGTTACATCTGCTAAGGACTGTCCTCTCTCCGCAAGTGCGCCAGCAATCTTACTCACAAAAATTAAACCTACGAGAGCACGTTTGCCAGCTCTTCCTTGTTCACTTATCGGGATACTGCAGTCCTCGCCGACAGTTAATTCGGCCACCTATAACACGCGTCATCCTAAATAATGGCAAAACGGAACATATCGCCTGATCAAAAGCCGAAGGACGTGGAAAGATAAGATTTGCAGGAAGCACAAACAAGATTATTAAACGGTTCTCTCTTTTCCTTAAAGAAATAAGTAAATAAATAAATGAGACTACCCACCGTCAAACCAGCTTGTCTGGCTTTTTCTATGGCGATACCAAAGTTCAAACAATCGCCTGTATAGTTTGGAACAATGACGAGTATACCGGCTGCAACAATAAAATCCATAAGACAGCTATATACGATTTTTTCTCAAACCTTTCGCAAAAGCCTTTCAATTAAAACCATCGATTATTACCTTTGTTGTTGGTAGACACACATTTCAATGCGTGCAAAATATGATTCGACGGTGGTGCAGCAAAGACAGAACCCGCTATAGAAGCAGTGAGCAAACCAGAACCAACGAATCCTATAGTAACCATGAAAGTTTGAACTTTTTGTATACCTTATTAATATTTAAAATATAAATTATATTTTGTAACAAGACAAGACCTGCTGCAAATGGTTCGTGTCCACTACCACCGCCACTTACTACAGCAACTTTACCGCTTCTATTTTTCCACTGGAACATAAAAGATAGCTATGACATACTGACTATACCAGAAAAGTTCTAGTGTCCATTGCAGTTCATTAAAAAGTAAAAAAGTATAATTATTCAAAAGACTTACATCGGGTACCAGTACTACTCTTTTTGATGAATGAAATTCCAATTGAGGATATGTCAGACACAGACCGGTCAGGGTCTCCTCGACAACAGTATCGACGGAATTGATGAGTTTCTTTCCAGTAGCCATATCAAGTATTCTTTCTCTTTACAAACCACGAACAAAATGATCCTTCTTCTTCTAGCAGTGGCACTGTTATGACAGTAAAGAAAATATTTAGAAGCTCTCTTTGATCTTTGATATTAACTAACTCGGTATGATTACTCAGTTGGAGTATTAATATGCAACATGAAAAGGAGAGGGAAATAATATAACTCACAATAATCTATCGGGTCTGTGCACGTAATCCGGGTTGTTAATCATCCCATTCAGACAAACTATATACACACTCATCTGCGTATGTATATATACTGTATACGGTGAACGATAAAGCTGTGTTATATCAACGATGATAAACCGTTTGACAGCCTTGACTCCCAAAAACCCAATTGAGACCATTCAAATGGACATTGCATAAAATACATTTACCAGACATACTGTACTCACCGAAATGATCTTCTGGATTGAACTTGTAACTTTCTGCTTTTCCACAACAAAGGACAGTTATGCGGATGAGAAAGAAAAGTAGGTGACAGATTCTTGAATGCAGTGTATATGTAATTTTCTATTTAAAGAAAACTAATGATGACCCCACGATAAGAAAACTATGTTTCTGATATCGGTGATGTTTTTTTGGCTAGTTGCAAAAAAGACAGGATAAAGGGGACATAAGTGTCACTGAAGAAATCGATTTAACGAAAAACATCAATAAACTGATAGAGCACTTTACAATTACTCCATTCGAATTACAACACTGTGATATACGTGGAAACGTACAGAAGATGAGTTAGAATCCTAAAATATATTGGAACTTTGCTTTCTTGCCGACAACTTACCTCGCGAACTAACCAAGAGGAATGAGACTATTGTTAGCAGCAGTCTGCTAATTGTGGCAATTACAAATAAGAAGACAATACCAGTGAACAAAATTTGATAAAGGTCAGGGGGTCTAAATCACATGAATATTCATGGGGGGAGACCTAACACGACGGAATTCAAGGATATAGGGAGCTTCGATTTTGTGTCTCCAAGAATTGATACTTGGAATTTTGGTATTTAGAAAAATTTCAACTACTGGCATTAATGATTTAAAAGGCACGGATTTTTATTACGTACAAGGTATCGACGGACTGAGCTAATGTTTTTAATTTCTGTATTCGTTCTCTTTCATTTAAGCTAGGGAACACATCGAAGTTTTCTTGTGCTTGTACGAATACTGTTAGTTCATTTTTAATTCTTCCTTTTGGTTCTATTAATTGCGACGAAACTTAACAAGTTAATTAGTACAGGGTTTATATGCAACATTTATGCATTTTATTACCAGAAAAATTCGCAATTGTAAATTCGCAACACCGAATGAACAAACTTTACTATGTAAGACTACGGTAGACTATAATGAGCAAGCGTATTTTGACAACTGTTAAAAAAATATACATTTCCTTCGCTTTCTATTTATATTCTTCCTCGCTCCCGCGTTATCGCAAATGCAGCAACACACTATTGCTAATTGCATTTGGAATACGCGAATTTTATTATAATACCACCCGTTTCTTCTCCAGGACAAGTAATTAGTAATCCAGTGCGACTACTATCCGGAGAAAAAGGCAAAATACTAAATTGGATGATGCGAAACGTCGATTCGACAAGAATCGAACGAGCTTGCACGTTCCTAATATAAATCTGTTGCATTTATCTTGTTGCAATTTTTACGACCTAGCCTAGTCGAGCGAATCTCAAACAGGATTCGACATTAAATGTCAATTGTATGTGTACAAGAAAATATCATAGTGGCACATAAAAGCGATCATACAATGCTTTTGATCATGTTGAGTCAAAGCATAAAGAAGGGGAAGACGTTTTATTGTACAATAGATGATGGTGGACCAGTGGTTTGTATGAAGATGAAGTCTATGCTCCTATCTACGACCTATGCTCTATGCATACCATTAATAAATTCATCAGGCTCTCAACTACCATGTATCAATTGCAACACATAAGTCATTCAATAATTGTTAAATTTCTATAAAAAATGTACCTATCCTTCCTGTTACGGTGATCCGAATATTTAAAGTTTACATAAAAAATGCTTTAATTACATTCGTTACTCTACGATTGCAAATCGGACAGCGTCCATTGGTGCGCCAAACTTTTACCGCACAGCGATAACAACAGCATATATGCGATGTACTGCCGTGAACAAAGACGCCATCTTTAATTGCGACAGTACAAATGAGACACTGTTTACTCTCAGCGCCCGATTCTACTCTAGTGCCTTTTCTTTTCTTGATTTTCGATATACAATCTACCTCATCGGTGTCGGCATCATCTCGCGACACATTGGACAGCTTTCTCTTGCGACTTGGGATAGGTTGAACGGCATCTTCAATAGCAAGAAACTCCTTGGCGCCGTCGCTCGCCGAAGAGGACCTCTCAATTCCGGATTCCGTATCGTGTTCATTTACGTTTTTCTCGAGCGCGCTCTCCCGAACAGTCTCTTTAGTCCCGGCGTCGGAGGTCGAGGTCGAGGTCGAGGTTGACAAGGAGGACGATGATGTCTCCTTTGTTAACTTGTCGCTGTCACCCGACGAGAAATCCGCGCCCGACGTAAAATCCAACCCGAACACCGAGTTTATATTTGGAAAGCCACTATCAACGGTGTCTACCGATTTTGACGACAACGAGGCTGACGATGTGGGTGTTTCGCTCTGGTTTGGTCGTGTTACCTTGTCTAAATCAAGCTCCAGTGATAGGGAACATTTTGTTTCTTGACTGGAACCTAGACCGGAGTCCATACTCGTTAGCTCCTCCTTCGAGTCCTCCCTCGACGTCAAGCTGGTCCTGCTACTCTTGGAAAGGTCACGACGTGGCCGATGTTTTTTTCTTTTTGGCCTTGGTGGAAAGAAATTCTTACGTATCTGTGAAAAAAGGAACAAATAGACAAAAGTTAGAAGTTTGCAAAACTTTTTTTTTTAATGTTAATTCAACGTTCGCAATACCAATGGTGTTGAATACTATTGATACTCTATGAAATTTCTTGTCCGGTTCATTATATCGAACTGACACTTCCTCACCTTATAGCAACCTTGGCATAATGTGAAACAAGGGTATCTCTTGGTCCTTCGACACAGCCAACATGTCTGTAGGATTGCACAAGTGTTAACACAAACAATGGGAATGCTAGTTCCACACTGTGCAATCTCGAGGAAAGTCTACGGGCTGGATTCTTTCGTTCGTCGTTGCCACTGGTTGCCTATGTTTTTTTTCTGAACTTGGAACGAGACTTTTGCTTTTCAACCTTTGACTCTCCATTAGCGATATTAAATCGTTTCTCTTTAGGAAGTCAAAGGTCTGTTAGCAAAAGTCAGTCAGAGTATCCATCCTTGAGGTTTGCGCTAATTAATCCACTACGGTCCTACACGTATGCGCACGCAATTCCACGATCCAGTGTTGTTCAAACATTCGAGATTCCTTTGGCTCGGTAGTTGAAACTACGAAATTATAGCAGAACGTACGTTAGATTCTATGATTTTGCTACAAGTCGTTACTCAATAACGTCAAGTGATTAATAAAATATTCATCCTTGATACACGTGTACAAGGCTCGTTACGTATAAAGATTATTGATTTTCCCATTCCATAATATTCACTGTACTAGACGCGGAACGCTCGTTCTGCTGGCCAGTGACTTAACTCAGACGAAAGAAACGAAACCGCAACTATCTTTCGGGAAATGCCAGTACCTGATAACACTTCTCGCAGTAACGAAACAACGGGTTGTTGTTGTCCGCGTTGCACTGTACGCAGGTCCAGTAGTCAGCTCGACCAATTTCACTGTCGATGGAACTACGAGAATCTTCGCTGTCAGCAGCTAGACCCAAATCCGTATCACAGATTGCAGTTAGTACACCAATCGCCATAATGTCCTGTTCAACGATTCAAGTTTATCAGAAATGGTTTAATCGATAGGCGTTGTTCCTGGGGAGGCTTGACTGACCTCAGGATCGGAAGATGATGTGTCCTGTGCAAAAGGATTTGCATCCTCTGACAGAGAGTCCACTTCATACTCTAAGTGCACAGACACATCCCCATGTTCACTACTGCTGACCCAGGTATGCGTCGAAGTGTCTGAGGTATCTTTGGCACTGTCTGTTATATAGATATAAATATATCATTTAATATGCAACATTAAATACATGTTGCCTAAAGTAAAAGATGTAGAAACATACCAGTTTCTTTTTCCTGGAAACTATATATTGACTCATTATCCTCATCAGATGGTTGAGGTGATTCGCTCTGTAGAGTCACATACCATGAGCACTTTGCCTTCTTTGATTGTAAATCCACTGTCTCATCCTCTGCAAATAAAATATATATCATCTAGCAACGCCGTATATTTAACAAAAGAAAATAACTATTTTCTAAGAGCACATTACAGTCTATGCACATAATTTTTAGTGTCTTTAATCGGCTCTAGAAACATGCAGTCTTAGTAACAAAAAATAATTCAGTATGAACAATGAAATAATTACCATCATCCGACGCCTTTCTTTTCCAGCCCAAACGAAACGGACCTAAAACGAACAATAAATCAATTAGCACTATTCTCACTCAGTACCAAAATAGAAAATAACAGGAAATTCATTAATTGTACATACCGGTCGGTAGGTTCATATTGGCCACACTCATTTTTATTTTATAGCTGACCGGACGCCGCTGTAAGAGATTAAAAAGAACCGACTGAATTCAAGGTCCACCGTACTCTGGCTATCCTCGTACGCTAGTGCAGCAGCGTAGATGCCTCGGGGGAAACGTATGCGCACACAAGATACCGTCTTTCACGTAGGCTAGTAGCGTAGGCTGAATTCCACTCTACACACAATCACACATAGACCCTTCACTGCGGTTCCCGCCTATCACGTCACTGCCTATTGGCCGAAGTTACTACAATACTTTCTTTCAGGAAAAATCACTCTAATCAGTTTCTCAATATCTACAGTTATTGTATATATAAAGACCGAGGCGATGATTATTTTTTAAACGAAATCTTAGCGATTCCGAATAGTTACTTCATTAAACAAGATATCGCGATAACACACCCGAGAGTCTCTTACATACCAAACTGAAACATGTTGGAACTCGTTCTTACTTGCGTACGCTCAGGGGGTTGGACACTAGTAAGTTCCCTACTTTGTAGTATGTGGCGCTGCTTGAATAATACGTCATCAACTTACTACGAGAAATAATTATACACCGGAAAAAGAGACTTATTTTAAATAATTCATTTTTATAGCTTTGCTATAGGGTTATTTTTTAATATTAACATATTAGTTTGAGGTTTTTTATTGAAAAAAAAAACTTGTTAAAACGTTATACTTTGGCACGAATTTTTTCTAACGATAATTTTTAAGCTATCTATACGATCTAAGTATACCATAGGTATCTACATATACTCCAACATCATATTGGATTAAATGATTTAGAGAATAATGGCAAGTCGTAATGATAGCACGGAGTCCTTTGCTAATAGGACCACTCAAGAACGTCGGGAAATCTTAAGATCACGTTTAACTACAACACATTATCTTGGTAAGATCGTCTTGGTTACTGAACCTGTTAATAGTTTCAACTTTACATTATGTTTTTTCCTTGCAGAAGAAACAGCCAGCACCAATACACTTAATACTTTAGAAGATATTATGAAAGATGTGGACAATCTTAATTTGGATACATCGTTAGATGAAAAAAGTATGATAGTTTAGCATTATGTATTATAAGTTACATTGTTACTCATTATTACTTATATATTTTTTCGAATTATTTTAGTACTTAATCAGGAAGAAGTTGTCCTGGACTCAGAATTGATGCAGGCCTCTTCACAAATTTTGAAACATTGTATAACTTCGATAACAACAGAAGTTACATATAACTTCCTTGAATATTGTGATAAACTTGTAAGTATTCTTATCCAAAAAACTAATTGAATATGGTTTTACGATGTATTCAAATTGTTCTTTCAGAAAGAATACATTGGTTTTACTTCCGACAGTATTGACAGTAGCAATGGCTGGTCAGTTTTTGAAGATGATGCTGTAAAGTATTTTAGAAAAGTACCAACATATCTGACTCTTCTAGGTTTGTCTTTCTTTGTGCTATAAAGTCACAGGACCTATCACAATCGATTCATTTTTCACACAGGAGGTCTCGAACCCATAGAAAAGAAAGTAACAGTAAGAAAAAAGATTACAAAGGATTCTGAAGCCATAACAAAGAGACCACAAAAAATAGTTGAATTAGAAAAAGCTGAGGAAGAGAGTGTAGAAAATACAGTTGAAAAAATTAAAAGCTTAATTTATACAGAGTGTAAACGAACTCTAAAACCTATTGACTTTTACAAATTAATAATAAATCCAATTGACTTTGGGAAGACTGTGGAAAATATGCTACACGTATCATTTCTTGTAAGGGATGGTCGTGTGAAGTTATCAAGAGGTAATTATTAATCAATACTCCTTTTAAAATTTTTACCGAGGCTCACTTTTCAGATAATAACGACAGACTGGTAGTTTCATCGTCAACCAAAGAGATGCGAGCACAGACAAAACAAGCAAATAGTACTGTTCAAAACGTAATGACATTGACAATAGATAATTGGCGCGTGAGTTCAATCAAATCATCAAAATGAAAAACTCTATAACAAATGATAATAATAAAATGTTCTTCTAGGCTTTAACAAAATTATACAACCTAAAGAAACCTATGATAAACTGAATGATAAGAAGTTACCAAAACCTCTAATTATAAGTAACAGATAAATAAATATTTTCTATACTTTCATAATAATAGAAGTTCTTTGGCCTCATTAATACATCTACTTCTCACAGATCTCTATAAATATTCCTCAGACTAAAAACACGTCTTTCTCAATTTTTTGTATATTTTTATTAATTTTTTATTACTAACATACAACACGGCTGCGAAGTGTACATTAATCGTTAATAACGTGGCTCATAGTAAAGCCTTACGAGCCATGGCCGATGACAACAGGTGAGTTGGTACCATATGAGTGGCAACCATTCTCCACACAATAAAAGGTAACCTAATCGATGTAACACGATTACGTTAAATCCTGATGCATCGAAGCGCCGTATGTTGCATTGTTGTCATTCGATCTGGCATAAACTGATGGAGTTTGATATCGACTGAATGGTGAATGCATCTCTGAGGTGTATTTGTATGAATATTGTTTTTCTTCAATGGAAAAAGAAAGAAATAATTAACATACAATCATCCAACGCCTCGATCGTCCGTTCTCGGTAATGGAGATACGAAGAAAAAAAATAGTTTATAAAGAGAAAATGGCAAATCCTCAAGAGAAGACACCAAAGGTCCTTAACACAGGAGGACGAGATCAACGATCGATTAGCCGGAAGATCGTCCTAACGAGAATTATTATCGATAATTACGATGACTGTGTTTCGATTTATTGTTTGGCCAGAGATTCTGCCTTGGCAGCGACCTCCTCGATGGGTCCGACCATGTAAAAAGCTACTTCGGGGAGATGATCGAGCTCTCCACCAAGGATCTTCTGGAATCCCTTGATAGTCTCAGCCAAGGGTACGAGCTTACCAGCATGGCCAGTGAAGACCTCAGCGACCTGATTATAGCAGAAATATGTGTAGAATTACGAAAGAGAAACTTTATGATTAATATCTATGAAGTAGAGTTCACGTGTTTGCATACCTGGAATGGCTGAGACAAGAACCTCTGGATTTTACGGGCACGGGCGACGGTGAGCTTGTCTTCTTCAGACAACTCGTCCATACCCAAGATGGCAATGATATCCTGGAGGGATTTGTAGTCCTGGAGGATTTTCTGGACACCACGAGCAATGTTATAGTGCTCCGTACCGATGATGTTGGGGTCCATGATACGAGAGGTAGAATCCAGGGGGTCAACAGCGGGGTAGATACCTGATTGATAAACGATGTTTAATAATTTTTATATATTTGTAACAATTAAACACGGTATATGCTATTTTGATAAATATTGTACTTACCAAGCTCGGCAATAGCACGAGACAGTACGGTGGTGGCATCCAAGTGAGCGAAGGTGGTGGCAGGAGCAGGATCAGTCAAATCGTCAGCAGGTACGTAGATAGCCTGGACAGACGTGATGGAACCCTTCTTCGTGGTAGTAATACGTTCCTGCATGGTACCCATGTCAGTGGCCAAGGTAGGTTGGTAACCTACGGCGGATGGGATACGACCCAGCAAAGCAGACACCTAGAAAATAAAACAAAAAATATTAAGTACTATCATTAAAATTTTATGGCTCTTAATATATTATTTCGATCGATGAACTGACCTCTGAACCAGCCTGGGTGAACCTGAAAATGTTGTCGATGAAGAGCAGTACATCCTGTCCTTCCTGGTCACGGAAGTACTCGGCGACGGTAAGTCCAGTCAGAGCGACACGGGCACGCGCACCAGGAGGCTCGTTCATCTGACCGTAGACAAGGGCTACCTTAGAAGTCTTGTCCTTCAGAGAAATTACGCCGGACTCAATCATCTCGTGATAGAGATCGTTACCCTCACGGGTACGCTCTCCGACACCAGCGAATACGGAGTAACCACCATGGGCCTTAGCGACGTTGTTAATCAGCTCCATGATAAGTACGGTTTTGCCTACACCAGCACCACCGAACAGACCTAAGGACCAAAATTCAAGCACAACGTATTAAATCTGTCATTATATGGATGTTCGATAAAATTTTAAGGAATGGAGACTGACCGATCTTTCCTCCCTTGGCATAGGGAGCCAACAGGTCTACGACCTTGATTCCAGTAACGAGAATCTCTTGCTCGACAGACATCTCCACAAATTCAGGGGCATCAGCGTGAATAGGGGCAAGCTTATCAGTGGGGATGGGACCACGTTCGTCGATGGGTTCACCAATGACGTTAATGATACGTCCAAGGGTTTCAGCACCGACTGGGATACGGATAGGAAATCCAGAGTCAAGAACAGATTGACCACGGACAAGACCCTCAGTACCTGGAAATGAGAAAATTGGTAATTTTATTGTGAAAACCTTTGAGTTTATTCGTTAAAAAAATCGTACCATCCATAGCAATGGTGCGCACTGTGTTCTCTCCCAAGTGCTGGGCTATTTCAAGGACTAGCCTGGGACTACGGTTCTGAACTTCCAGGGCGTTGAGAATTGGTGGAAGCTCATCGTCGAACTGGACATCGACGACGGCACCAATGACGGCCACAATCTTTCCATGAGCACCAGTCTTTCCAGCTGCAGCCTTGGCATAATCACGGCCTGAAAAAGGATGGTTATATACAGTTATTTATTGACTTAATTATCAATAAGGAAATTATCATACACAACATATTTACAAAATATTAGAAAATGAATGTTACAGAGGACATGACTAGTAACTGTTCCTTAATAAATAATGTAACAGAAGAACTAAAAAAAAGCATTCAACAAAATCTCGTGTGATACATCCTAATTAAAAATCAGGGTAGTATTAGGTAATGGACGTGTGAGCGCAGTTACATAATATCTTGAAAAAATGATTTTCTTCAAAGAGAATCAGTAATGATCCTCAATGAAGACATCGTGTGTCATCAGCATGAAAATAATAATCGCACATGATTAAATTTGAAAATACAAGAAGAAGGTATCGGTCTTAAAACGTGGAAAATCTAGCAGACAGCGTAATCGATTATTCCACAGATTAGTGATTCGTAAACCGGTAATTGTACGATGCTTTGTTACCAAGATCTCTGTAAATATAACCAGTCAAGGAATAAGCTTCAAAAATTACGACTCCATGAGACTGTGATGTTATAATATTATAAAAACGTTTTGGAATCTTTACGTACAAGTTGGCAAAGAGTGACCCCAATGCCGCCATGTTGGTCGGACGTTGCTTGAGAACGATTCATCCGAATAAAACAGATTATATAATATCCGAGAGGAGCGCAAGTGGAATCAATAAAAGATGATATATGGTACTACAGGTCGTTGAAATTTTTCCAAATCTCGCGAGAAGTATGAGATAACTGTCTTCTTGTAAAACATGACAATTTTCGCCCAATGGCTCCCAGGGGCCGTGTACGCGAGGTAAAAAGGCACAGGAGGGCACGTCCTCGAGGAATATTGTTTCTCTGAGAGGTACACTATAGATTTTCGTTATCGTCACACTGATTTTTCAATACTCACTGTTCACTGCAAGGACTCCAGTGACTTTTGCAGCTTCGGTTTGTAGAAGGGCGGGTTTGACGGCCCGGAGGGCCCCGACGGCTGCCTTCGATACGGCGCTCAACATCATGGCCGGTCAAGTGACGAGGAACACTACCGGAATACTCGTCTACCCTGTGGACCGCATTCTCCGGTGAACGCTTGCGCGTTTCATGCTCCGGATCAATACGCTTGCGCAGGTTTTATGCACGGTTATGCGGCAGAAGAGGTATCGGGCAAAGATAACAGATGTCACTAGGCTAGATAATAATTCATAGCCCTTGAAATGATGATTGGATGACTTCTTTTGCCCAACCTAACGTAGACCAGAGTGGACCTCGATCTGCTGGAGCTGATACCGGCGTGGTATAAAATTTCGTACTTTTTTTACTTGATTTTTGAATCAATACAAGAAAAATGGTTGAACAACAAAGAAAAAGGATTGAGGACACCATGACTAAAATGGTTGAGGAGATTGACAGGACTTATCTTAGGAAGATGCAGGTCTGTAAAATGTATCTTGTATACACTGATGTTCACTTTTCATATAGACCATTGTTTTAGCGTAAAGTGTTATTGTAAAACTATTTTTAATTTTTATGGTATGTGTATACTCACACGAAAAAGTGATATACTGGTTTTCTGAATATTCTATGGACTTTATTATGTAATTTTTATAAGTTATTAAAGATTAAAAAATTTTTTTTTTACTCGTTACTTTTGCATGTGACTTGATCTTGCACAATGTTCTTTTACTTTATCATATTCATGATCCTGTTGTTTCAGGGTGAAATGCATTTGTGTGCAGCAAAGTGCTGCAGTAATGGAACGCAAAGTGTACAAAGTGTACACAGTTGCGTGGAACAATGTAGTACAACATTAAACAAGGCACAACAATATGTTCAAGGAGAGCTCGAGAGAGTACAAAACCGATTACAACGTTGTGTTATGGAATGTAATGATAATATCCGTACAGAGATGGGTCCAAATCCCACGCAAGATGAAGTGAACAAGTTTAGTGAACAATTTGAAAAATGTGCAACTAAATGTGTTGATACATACTGTGACTTATTACCTTCTTTAGAGAAGACTATGAAAAAAGTATTAGATAGTAAACGATTTGATCAATGAGACCATCCATATAGATAACATATGTATATTGAATAGCAAAGACAAAAATCTGTCATCGCTTCAGTTGGTAAATATATTTTGAAGAGTCCCTGGCCACACGGTCTTTAGAATGTTTAAAGTCTAATGTATAAAGATTGTTCATAATATTGTATGATACTATACCTGTAAATACAAATTACAATGATCCAACCAACTCTAATAGACAAAGAATTTTTATAAGAAAAACAATGGTACGCCGTAATTCTCCATCCATTTTGTCAGAATGGACAGTTGGAGCAGAGTACAATCGAGTGTTAAAAATTAAAAATTTAATGTTACGCATAGACAAGTGCGTGGTCATGATGTTTATTTACTGGTACATTCCGATCGAGGACCGGCAGATTTTGCATTACTTATCGCATTTTCTCCCATACTCTCTCTCCCTCTCTTGTTCTCACACAAACTCTCCCGTTCTTGCTCACTTGTTTTCTAACTTTAATAAACAAATGCACCGTTTGCAATTCATTAATCGTTACTTTTATTGTTACAATAGACTTTATGTTTATTGCACGTTTTTTCCATGATATATATATAAAATCTCCATCCGCAATTCTCCCTCTTCGCTTATACGTTAGATGATAATCGGACTCTCAATAATTGCATCGCGCGATTTCTGTCCTCGACAAAATAATAACAGATCCGTCGCGAGTTGATTGGTACAATTTTTTTTTTCTTTCATTTATTTAATATCGTCTGACAATTGAATTTCACGTCGCTCCTCCGTTTCTCTCTCCTTTTGTCCCCTTGTTCCTCATTGTTAAATTAATAATCATTAATTAATAGTAATAATTTAATATAAATATCAACATAATATACTTTATCAATGCATAATTCAGGCCCGTCCGGTATGGTCCAGGCCTTCCATTCGTACTCTGCCTTCTTCAAAGGAGCTCTTCTACATTAGTCTGATATACGTATATATGAATGTAGATAAATACACTCATATATATGTATATATATACTCCAAATTCAAAAAGACATCACATTTTCTTATCATATGTTTCCCTCACTTTTTCTTCTCATCTATGTTTGATCCAATTGTCTTCGTAGCCTGTGAATGTGATTTTCTTTCTCACGGAGCAGCATAACTTCTTTGACTCTTTCTTAATTCTCTTGATAATGATAGTAGTAGGTGTTGAGTGATTACAAGGTGGATAGATTTAGGGAGACTAAATCACAAAATAGTTTCATACTACGATCGGACTTTGAAATTATTTTATCTAAAGCGCAATTACCTACGGTTCTCATGTGAAACAAGTATAAGTCGAAGTAAACATAGGAAGAGACAATGACGAGGACGCTGATAAAGAAGATTGAGAAGAAAAATAATAGGAGCGATGAAACCAAGAAGGGACAGGATCAATAAATAATGACGAACGCAAAGCATTCATTCATCAAACGGAAGTTGAAGTGATTCATAAAAAGGCTTCACATTTCTGGTCGGTCAGGCTCTTCGGACTAGATTTAGTATTATGCGAGTTGTGTGTTCACTCGCATGTGTGTTCTATGTGCGAAAAATAAAAACGCATAAAATAACGTAGAACGTGAACTTCAACGTTCTAGTAGAATTAATCAGGTATGTCGGATATAAAAAAAAAATAGAAGGAAAACAGTACAAAAGAGAACGTACATACAAAGATGGCATCGAGATAAACAAGCTCACCAGACTATATTGATTTCTCAAGCTACTGAGAAATCAATATTCAAATATTTGTATATATGCTGATTTGGTTTTTAATTTCCAACTTTCAATTAGTAATATATCTTTGTTCGTTATATATTTAACAGATTATTGTTCTATTTTCATTCCTTTGTGAGCTTATTTAGTCGAATCGGGTGAGTTGACCTTATCGAGCCGCTTCTCTTTTCTAGCTCTATCTCTTTTTCTCTTTCTCACGCACTCTCTCACTCTCTAAAAAAAAAGACCAATAATAGGTAATATAGAATCACGCCTGTTGGTCCTACTCTAGGCTATCATCGATTGTAAATTAGTTTTTTTTTTCATTGCTTAATTAATATCATATTTAGGGTGCGCCTACCGATTGGAACTCCACTGAGAATCCTCTCGGCAGACCCACGACGTTAACTACACTACGTATCATGGCCGTTGAACGGTACAAGGATTTTTCTAGCAGATACGAGTAGCTGCGTATATCGTATTATTAATAATAATTAATTCAACTCTTATGCATAATCACTCTTACGACGTGTCTTGATATCACTAACCAGTCAAATCCTTGTCCCTTCCTCGTGACAACGTTCAACGGTACACAACTCGCCTAATATGGCTGAGAGCGATGGTTGCCCGCGACATAACGCAAGCTCCCCCCCTTTTATCCACTATATGCGTATCGATTTGTACTTTAAAAAGTGAAACAACCATTCGTTTCTTCAGCGAATCCCAGCTTGGATGACGGTACCCCATTTCAGCCATAACGATCTCAACATTGCTTTTAGTCCATTTCACTTTCCCTTACTGTACCCTTACCACTACAGTGGCAGAAGAAGCATACACGTCTTCAGACTTGAGACAAATATACAACTGGATACAGATAGAAGAGAGAGTAACGTTATCCGGGTTGGTAAAATTTTAATTTAGTCTGAACGAGAAGCTTGAACGTCGCGGGCAGGCATCGCGCAATTAAATAATACCTTTGTTAGCCAACCTAGCTAGTCTGTTTTGTTTTCTTAAAAAAAAGTCACACTCAAAAACAACCCTTGCCTTTGCTTCCTGGATGATATCGGGGGTCTCGCTGACTGGAATTCTTCTACTGAATAAGAATTTTGTATTGGGTTGAGAAAATGCGTTATTTGCTTTATTCCTTCCTTTGTCGAACGGATGACGTGTGAGAGAGTTCTTATTCTCTTGCTTGTATCAATTTGTTGTTGCTTCCGTTAGTTCGCTTCCTGATCTCTTTGAGATTCTTTTGGCACCGACGCCGCAGAGATACTTGCCAACTCGTTGTTCCTTATTGAAAAATTATTCCCATATAAGTGGGCGGCGCAATCGATCATCGCATGGCTAATAAATCTATCTTCTTGTATTCCTTTTTCTTTTATTTTTATTAATATTTTTTTCCTTTTTTTTCTTTTATTCCCAGAGAACACTAACGCGGATACACCATATATTCGCTGTTGACGTTAAAAAGCGCGTGAGCATTCGCGGTGACTCTGGGAGTTATTCTAAAGCGAATATAGTCGTAGGGTCGATGTTCACTCTTTTAAAGGAGCCCGGGACAGTCGTGTCTTTTACTCATTGGTGCGAAAGAGAAGAACCAAGTCACGCTTTGAAAAAGACTTTGGAACACACTTTTTTTTTATGGATCTACATGAACGAGTACAATAGGACCTAGTGAATACCTGATGAAAAATCATTTTTTAATGTATTCTCAACTGGACTTCACCGTCAAAAGAAACAAAGCAGCCAGCAGTCGATGTATAGAACACTCGCCAGGAGTGTATGTCATTGATTAACTAATGGCTTCCTGGTTGCATGATATATGACCCTAGATCTCGTTCATGTAAATTCGATACAACAATCCTTTCATCTTGGATATCTTTAACGCTATCTTCTTTTGTCTCTCTTCTTCTCTAGCTCACGAGGACTTCCTTCGGGGGCTTCGTCACTCATCTCTTCATTTTTTTGCTGGTTTTCTTTATCTTTTTCTCTTACTCTTCGTTACGTCACCTCCTTCACCTCGAGGATACTTTACCAAAAAGTGTAACCACCCTCTGTTCCTCCTCCAAGGAACGATCCTTTCTTTTGCGACAAGGCGACAGTGTGTCCCGCCATTGCGGCCAATTGTGCTGCGTTTGCTGCCACACCAGGAGGCGGTGGTGGTAATACCTGCTGCGAGATACCATCAAAGCGAGACCCATCGAATCCATTCTGCATGATCAAAAAAAAAATTATATCAATTTCTATTTAAGTATGCGCGTTCCTGCTGTCTTTTATTTCCTAAAAATTCTATATCTTACAGGGACCATGAGCGTGGGCCTAACTGGCGCCGGTTGCATCGCAGCTGCAGGGTAGTAAGCTGCAGCGGCTGCGAGAGGAGGATAATACTGCAATGGACCATAGGCCGTAGGATAACCAGCCAAGTATCCTCCAGGATAACCCTGACCGTACATCGGTTGATACATCTAAAAGTAAGAAGAAATATTATTAAATAAAAAATAATTTTATCAATCCTAAAGACAATTAAAACATTTCCAAAAACTCTTACCATAGGATGAGTCAACGTTTGATCATACGTAGGTGGCGGTGGTCCTTGTGCTGCATAGAGCTGCGGTTGATTTGGAAATACTCCATAAGGCGCGGCCCCTGCAACTAAAAAGGTTAAAACAATTTTTCAACGGTTCACATCAACGACTAGCACAGAACTACGTACTAACAGTTCGTGAGTAGTCAATTTAGAAATTGTTGAATTCTCTAAGCTACTCACCACCGTAGGTTGCTGGCTGAGCTGGTGCTGGGACAAAGCCAGTTGGTGGATGAGGTGCCACGGGGTATGCTGTAACACAAGCCAAATACACAGTAGCATCTTTCATCTTTAAGACAATTGAAAAAGTCGATCTAAGCCAACGGTACACGGTACCACAGTCCAGGACTGACGACTCAACTTGCGAGTTAGCACGTTTACACATATGGCTCTCATTTTCAGCACGTGTTACATTCCAAAAAAAAGACAAATTATTTTTAAATAACTATGCCGAGCATTATTCGATAGTCTCTCTTGGTATTGAGCCAACTCGTAAACCGATTCGTGCAACGATACACGAGCCAATCTATTCTCTACCGGACACTTATTTACACCTCTGAATACAGTTGCAGTACAAGAACAATATTTTTATTGTATCATAACTCGCTGTACACGTAACAAGTACAATTGCACAAGATACAAAGTGATGGCAGAAATAAACTGGTTCGTGTATTCACAGTGGTACTCCCACACCCAAGTATATCTTACACATGACATACACCGTTATGATTTTTTTTTCTTTTTTCTTTTCTTTAATCAAGATACTAATTGAAGCTCAAACAATGTTAGTCACTAGGTAACGGTGAAAAGAAAAAGAAAAAAAAAGGGAAAAAAATGGAAACCAATGAAAGAGAGCCCGTACTCGTGCCGGTGTACTATTTTTTTTTAAATATTAGATCTTTATTATTCTTTTTTTTTTTAAAAAGGCACGAGTCGGACTTTCATGTTGAAAAAAGTATTTCGATGCGTTCGCGCGCTTCTTGTTCCCTTTACGCGATGATTTTCATTCTTTTTATGTTTTTAAGTGTCAACTTCTTTATTAGTTTGCTTAACTCGTACAATCTTACCAACTTCAGAGCGGAACGCAACGCACGCGAACGCAATCGGCACGAGTCACGCCTGAGGACAGTTTAGAAAGCGAGGAAGAAAAGAAACGGATAAATTTAAAAAAAAGCCCAGCGGAACGGGAAATCGCGAAAATTTGAATCGATTAAAAAAAAGGTTATTCGCGTTGAAGGATTTCGCTAACTTACGATTACGATTCTAATACGCGAATAAAATCCTCTCCCCCCCCCCCCCCCCCCCAAAAA